AACTTCCTAAAGACATTGCTATGGAAATCATAATCACGGGATGCTGGAGTATATGAATGGTAAGAAGCGATAAAATCTTCAGATCGGCAACACCACACCTAAACTCCTGGAAGTTTTACCTGAAGGATGGGCTTCAGAACGTCAAGCTAAGAGCCAAGCAAGTCAAGACAGAACAAAATGATCTTTGGATAATATGGAACTTATAATTTAACTTCTATGCTGCCTAGAACTAGAATTGGGTGATTTTCCCTTTGTATTACTGCTTGCAAATATTTTACTATTAATTTAATAATAATACCATAGAACAATTGTTCTATGGTCACAGGTTCAAAAAGACACAGAAAATATCCCACGCAACCGCAGCTGCAGCTGGGCACTCAGCATCAGAGCAACAATTATATAAGGTCTGATAAGATGCATGGTGAATTTTGCCTAGCTTTTTGATTGTGGTTTTAGGCCAGAAGAAAGGACACTCTAGGAAGCTGATGTAGGTAATCATGGCTACTACTACTTGAGGTTAATAACAGAACAAAAGAGTATCGGTTTCCCAGCAACGTGGCAGTTCAACCACGGAACTAACAACCTAACATGCATGTTGGGTTACAAAATAGTAGGGGTACTCTGATAGTAGTAGATGAAGGCTGGATAATCACTCACATTCCAGATTCCATTTTAGTGAGAGACGGCGGAGCAGTACCATCATCACTCTGCAGCAGATCCCCATGAGAACCTTGTATAATCAATCACATTCCAGATTACCGGTACGGCCAAGCTGACAGGGCGCATCTAGATTTACACGCACGATTAGAAGACAGTGACCGGTCAGCGTGGTGCAGCTCCATCCTGAAGAAAAAGGTCCGGTGGGACGGGGGAGTTGAGAGAAAGAAGAAGGGGCGAGGCATCTATCCATCGTCAGCGGGGCACGCCGTTTGGGCAGGTTCACCGCACGCACCAATTCCCATACTCTCTGTGCATGGGTGCGCACGCTCTGCCGGCCGGATGGACGGAGTGCTCCGGGGGGTGGAATGGGGTGCCGCACCTGGACAGTTTTGCACGCTGGCGCGTCCGTTTGCTGTCGTGCGATCCGGGTGAAGCGAGAGATGGGCGCCGCGGATCTGTTTTCTGGATTAGATTAGGTGATCCGAGAGAACCCAACTACATGGGGTTTGTGTGGCTGCGTCAAATTGCCACGTCAGAGCTACGAAACGACGGGCGACTTTGTGAGAAAATGCTGTAGCAACAACTTGTCTTTGCGGACAAACGGACAGTAGAAAAACGAGGTAGAACCAAAGCTCGCCCGCGCAGTGCCGTGTCCATGGCTAGGCCCACGCGGCCTGCCACGAGCTTATAAAAACTGCACTGCTCTTTTTTCAGTGAACCACATATGGGGGACCTCCTAATCAGCGCTTCAGGCGCCAGTTGAGGAATCGAACCGAAGACATTTAGCTTAACGCGGGCGGCTTACCACTTGTGCTACGACGCCTTAGTGGTAAAATCTGTGCGTGCATGTCTGAAGAACAAAACAGTAGCCGCGCTATTTAGACAAACCTGATTTCTTTTCAAGCAAAAACGTGCACAAAATTTCAATGTCCACAGATTCAAAACACATCACAATTTAGAAAAAAGTTCACATATTAAAAAAAATAGAAGAATTCAAAAAAGTTCATGAATTGAAAAAATTCATTGAATTTGAAAAGGAGTTCATCGAATTTTAGAAAAGTTCATTGAATTTCAAAAAAAAATCACCAACTTTTCAAAAAAGTTCATCATATTTGAAAAAGAGTTCATCGAATTTGAAAAAAAAAGTTCATACATTTTAAAAATGTTCATCGAATTTGAAAAAAAGTTCATAGATTTGGAAAATGTTCATTGAACTTTAAAAAAAGTTCATCAAAGTTGAAAAGAGTTCACCAAATTTGAAAAAAGTTTATCAATTTATAAAAAGGGTTCACAAATTTTCAAAAAAGCACGCATTAAAGAAAAAAAAAGAGGAAATACAAAAGTATAAGAAAAAAGTAAAAGTAAAAAAGAAAACCTGAACAAAATAACAAGAGAAAACGAGGGCAATCATGCAACGATCGTGCGTAGCCTAGTGGTGGTAGTGGCTGGACAACCGATGAAGTATCATGCGCCAAATAGGAAATGGCCACATATGGGTCGCAGTGGCTGCAGGATCCAATCCTGATGGGGCAGGCGCCACTATTATTTTGTTTTTCTGTTAAGTCTATATCAAGTTGAATCTTTTATGCCCACAAAAAATTTTTGCCTTTTATTGTTTTGCTAGTTCTATAAAATAATATTGATTGCGTATAAAGAAAGTTAAAAAGGTATTAAAAATGTTCCTGATATATACAAAAAATGTACAACGTATATGAAAAAATTAGTCATCAAACATCTAATATTTGAAAATAATGTTAATCATCTATTTCAAAATATTAAAAGTGTATAAAAAATGTTCCTTATGTATATGGAAAATTCGAAACGTGTATTAAAAAATTTAACAACAAAACATACTTTTAAAAAAGTGATCGTGTATTAAAAAAATGTAATCATATATTTCAAAAAAATTGAACTTATACTCAAAAAAAATCCCGGTGTATAAGGAAAATATACAATCTGCATGAAAAAATCCCGGTGTAGAAGGAAAATATACAACCTGAATCCCGCATCTTTTTTGTTTTTGAAACAAACTATATGGGCCGGCCCAGCACGATGCGCTGCAGGCGCCTGTTTGCAGAATACACACACATTAACGGGCGCCTGCAGCGCCAAATAGGAAATGCCCACATATGGGTCGCAGTGGCTGCGGGATCCAATCCTGATGGGGCAAGCGCCACTATTATTTGGTTTTTCTGTTAAGTCTATATCAAGTTGAATCTTTTATGCCCACAAAAAAGTTTATGTCTTTTATTGTTTTGCTAGTTTTATAAAAAAATGTTGATTGCGTATAAAAAAACTTAAAAATGTATTAAAAATGTTCCTGATATATACAAAAAATGTACAACATATATGAAAAAATTAGTCTTCAAACATCTAATATTTGAAAAAAAATGTTAATCATCTATTTCAAAATATTAAAAGTGTATAAAAAATGTTCCTTATGTATATGGAAAATTTGAAACGTGTATTAAAATATTGAACAACGAAACATAAACTTTTAAAAAATGATGATCGTGTATTAAAAAAATGTAATCATATATGTCAAAAAAATTGAACTTATATTCAAAAAAATCCCGGTGTATAAGGAAAATATACAATCTGCATGAAAAAAGTACTCACTCCGTCCCGAAATACTTGTCCTGGAAATGGATAAAATGGTTGTATCTATAACTAAAATAAGTCTAGATACAACTATTTTTAGGACAAGTATTTCCGGACGGAGGGAGTAGTTGTGAAACATAAATTTGCAAACATAAATGTTAATCATGTATTTAAATATTCCTGATGTATACACAAAATGTATGCGTATGAAAAAAAAGTAGTCATCAAAAACATATATTTATAAAATGTTTATCAAGTAATTAGAAAGAATTAAACTTGTATAAAAACATGTTGTTGATGTATACGAAAAATACATACATCAAAAATATTTATTTCAGAAAATGTTAGCTGTGTACTTTTAAAATGTTTAACATGTATAAAAACCAAGAAAAAACTATACAAACAACACATAGAAAACAAGAAAAGTGACAATCAAAAAGGTTTTTAAACTGGTGAAAACCATAAAGAAACACACAGAAAAAGAAATAAATTAAAAAAAAACAAAGAAAACCAAATAAATCGGTGAAAAAGAAAGATAAATACAAAAACCAAAGAGAATAAATGTAAATCGAAGAAAGATAAAAGGAAAAAAACAAAAACAGAGAAAAGAAAATAAAACCAAAAGAAAAACGAAGAACAAAAAAAAGAAAAACAAGTGAAAACCATGAAAAACAAAGAAAACAAGTGTAATATAAAGAAAACTGGAATTATAACGAAGAAAAGGGAAAAACAAAAAATGGTTAAAAATAAAAAAATAAAGGGAAAACAAAAGAAAAATGAAAAATGAAAAATGGGAGAAAACCGGAGCAGAGCAAACCTATAGTGAGCGAGTCCTACGCTAATTCGCCGGCCCGCGCGTGTTGTGCCTAAGGCAAGAGCAGCTTCTACCTCGCTATAAGCGAGATATAGCTCTTGCGGAAAAACATTAGTTAACTATGAGAAGTCACGACTCAGGAGGGATACGCCACGAGAGAGGCCGACATGGTGAAAAAAAGCAGAAAAGAAGAGAACAAAAAGTTTCTCTCACCCGTGAGAGTGGTTGCTTGCCAGCCCGTTTGGGGCCTTGGACCATAGGTGAGGATCCAGCCTCGTCGTCGATGCTGCTCACCCGTCTCGTCGTCACTGGGTTGCAGCTCCGCATGCTCGTGGTCGCAACACCCGGTCGCCGTGTCCCAACAAAAAGACAAATTTCAGGAAAGAAAATCTCCAATAGTCGCCAGTCGCTGCACAAAACTCACGGGTCCCACTAAAATTTATCAGCGGTTCTAGCAAAAAAAAAGATGCATCCACATCGTCGGCCGCGGCAAAAAATATCGTCAGCAAGGGGTGAGGAATCGGTGGTCTCGGTTAGAAGGTAGTTCGTCAGCACCAGCCTCCTGGAGAACATTAGCCAGATAACATTTTCGGTTTCTTTTGTCACCACGGGGATTATTGGATTTGACCTCCAGGAGCCGCTGCGCCTGGCAGCGCGAGAGAAGCTTGGCGCCAACGTAAACCCAAAATGACCGAAGCAAAGCAAAAGCCAAGAGCAGATCCGTGGTGGGCACAAACTTGGAGAGAACGTAACCACGGCACGTGCAGCTTGCGCTGCGTATTATAAGAGGAGTTCACCTCACCTAGCCACAACCTCCATCACCGGAACATCTTGACCAACTGCGCGCACCTCATCGGCCGCGCGCACGCCCAGTAAACCCTACCCTACTCGCCGGCGACAGAGGTTTTCGCGAGCTCATGCGACAATGGCGTCCCGTAAGTCCCCCTCCGATCCTGCCTGCTTTGTTAGGTTTCCTCTTTTTCTTAAAACAAAAATTGATCAATGTGATGATGCTTTGGTTTGGTGTCTCTCTGCTGCAGGCCTCGAGTTTGAGAACTCGTGCAAGGTCGGGGTGTTCGCGAGGCTCACCAACGCCTACTGCCTCGTCCTGGCCGGTGGGGCGGGGAATTTCACCAGGTTGGTTGTCCTCGACTCGGTCTGTCATGGTTAATCGCGACCCCTGGTGGCCTCTTCTCTTCTAATTGGTCCTCTCGTTGTCCTGTGGTTGCAGTGTGTTTGAGGCCGAGCTCGCCTACACCGTCCCAGTGGTCAAGGCATCCATCGGCGGCATGAGGATCCTCGGGACATTGTGCGTGGGCAACAAGAACGGCCTTCTTCTACCACACACCACCAACGACCAAGGTAAGAAAGAAAGAGGTCCTTCCTTGTCCAGTGAGTCAGCAGTGACCTGACCTGGCATGGGTTTCAAATGCCTGCCATAGAGCTCCAGCACCTCAAGAATAGCCTGCCTGATGAGGTGGTCGTCCAGTGTCGACGAGCGGCTCTCCGCCCTCGGCAAGTGCATTGCTTGCAACGACCACGTGGCTCTCACAAACCCAGATCTCACCAGGGAAACCGAGGAGATCATCTCGGACGTTCTTGGGGTGGAAGTGTTCAGGCAGACCATCGCAGGGAGCATCCTGGTTGGCAGCTCCTGCGCCTTCTCCAACAAAGTGGGACTTGTACGCTACGCTCCTCATCACACCCACACTAGCTACCTACGATTCAACCTCACTGCTTGATTTCTGAAACTCGTCGACCTGACTGTTCGTGTGTGTAGGTTCACCACACACGTCGGTGGAGGACCTGGACGAGCTGTCGACGCTGCTGCAGGTGCCCCTCGTCGTCGGCACCGTCAACCGGGGGAGCGAGGGCATTGCGGCCGACATGGTGGTCAACGATTGGGCGGCCTTCTGCGGTTCCGACACCATGGCGACCGAGCTCTCAGTGGTGGAGAGCGTCTTCAGGCTGAGGGACGCCCGGCCGGGGGCATTGGGCGCAGACGTGAGGAAATCCTTGGTTGAAAGCTACTTTTTTAGGGGAATTTTGCCTTCGGGGTGTTAGCCATGAATATTCTTAAGTACTTCTTCCGCTTCAAAATAGATGACTCAACTTTGTACTAACTTTACGGAGGGAGTAGTACTTTTAAGCTCGTGATAAGACTTTCAAGTAGCAAGGATGGAGGGTTTATCTCTAAAGACCTGAGTTATAAACAAAAATGAGGGGCACACATGACAATGCAATTTGCGAGTCCTACAGTTCTTTTTTTCAGCTCAAGGCCTCTTGATATGACATGTATCTCAATTGTCAATCCTATAGTATAGGGAAAGAGATAGAAAGAGAAGTCACTTGATTCATAAGATACAAAATGTGAAGGATTGACTCCTATCCTACACAGAAATAGAAATCCATAGGAATAGGAATCCATTCCTACAAACTTAGTGCTGCAAAGAAAAAGTTTCTGCAAAATTCCTATCCTTTAGAATCCCTACAGAATTGCTCTAAACCCAAGTAAAGTTGGCCTAAAGTTTTCTTCATAGGTTGTTCCAAAGGAACGTTGCAGATTAGACAAGACCACTACACTTTATTATAAGAAATTCCAGGAACAAACTTCAATGTCCACATCCATCATACGAGCATCAGTAGAGAATTCCCACAAAAAGCAATTTAAGGCACCCATCAGTCCTTCAAAAATTGCTGGTAAAATAGGGAATATTTACAAGGAAACAAGTAGAAAGAGACATAATTTGAAGATCAACATAAATAAGAATCTAGGGCAGCAGCTCGATATCTATTCCTGGCAGAAAGTTCAGTAGTGCATGAGCACCCAAGTGCAAAACAAACACTAGTGGTTCGTTACATGACCAAAACATTATTATCTCAATCATATACTTTAGCAGAAACCCGGAAGCAGTTGCATGGCAACGGGATGAACCTAACGGTATTCCAGATCCTACTCGAGCATATCAGATAATGTCTTCTTCTTGTTGAATGGATCGGTAGCAGCAAGTAAAGACGCGATGACACTGTTGGGGAAAATGTTATCAGCCTTCATCCTCTCTCTAAATCCATAAACAGGAGTCTTTGCATGCACGTATGCATTTAGAAGCAACTGGTACTGCCTAACCCTCCCATTATAACCCATCTGCCGCAACTGGTCAAACACCTTCTCTGAATTGTGGATGTCCCCTTTCTTTGAATAAGTATCAAGCAACATGAGATATGAGCTGTACTGAGGCTTCATCTTGTTACTTTTAGACAGCTTGTGCAGTATAGATTCAGCTTTGTCCACCTCTCCAGCGCCCACATAGAGCTTCACCAGCGAATCAATTGTTGAGATGCCTAGTCTGCAACCATCCTCATCCATGCGCTTTGCTAGCTCCTTACCCTTCTCGAAAAGGTTTTGATCAGCATACACCTTCATCAAAGCATTGTAGAATTTGGAGGAGAGTGTTTTCCATGTCGCAAACATATCCTCAAAGACTTTCTCCGCCCGTTCAACGTCTCCAAGCCTACCAAAAGATTCTATAGCAGACAAGCACTCATCTAGACGAGGATTGGCCTCGCAAACCTGCCACATCCGCTCAACATCATCCTTCTTTCCAAGAAAAGCATATAAAGGTAATAAAATCTTGCAGGCATTGCGGTTTCCTTTGATATCACCACCCTCCATTGACTCCAAAATTGCTTCAGCTTTCTCGCGGTGACCAGCAAATATGTAGTGCTTTGCAATTGTTGCTTGAAACAGAAGATCTGGCTCAACACCTTCTGCTTGCATCGACTCAACAACTTTTTCCATACCTGCAATATCTCTTATAGCACCTTTGGTGTCCACAAGGAGCTTATAAGTGAAGAGTGATGGTTTCACATTCTCCTTTTCCATCTTCGCGAGAACATCAGCAATCTTCTTCTTGTCCACCCTTTTGTACAGTAGCAGAAGCTGATTGATAGCAAATACTGTAACTGGGAACCCAAGATCCTTCATCTTATTGAAGACTTCCTCTGACTTCTTCACATTTGCTTCAGACACACAATTAGCTAAAAGAGTTCTGTATACAATCTCACCCCTATGAGATATAGGAATGCTATCTATATACTTTTCAGCTTTGTAAACACCATGAACTTTAGCTACCAAATCAAGGCGCGAAGCATAATCACGTTCTCCTAGATCAATTACTTTGGAATCTTCAAGCCACTCCAGGAGCTGCGTAAAAGTGAATGAATTATCTTATCTTTCATGTAATAAGACAAACATGCTGGAATAAGCGACTACAATGAGAACAGTCATGTATTCTCATGATACTATAGAGACAAGTAGTAAAGAAATTAAACAGGTGGCGATTGACACGGCAAAAGGCTATATAAGGAACATGTTTTATTTTTCAAAGAATGTTAATTCCACTGTATAGCTATGAAAAAACAAATAATATGCGTTCTATAAATGGTTTGAAGAACAAAAAAGGACTTGAGGTTGTACAAATGCATCCAGTAAAAAGGTAATTTTGACTTCATTTTGATTTAAGCCAGAGATTGCTTGCATGTCTATCCATAATATGAGCAGCGTGTAAAAAAAATAAGAATTCACAATCATGGGAAAACAGAGAGAAAAGTTATACAGGGCAAAAGTTAAACACCTGCAATGCTTTGAAGTAGAACTTCCGCTTCCTAAGGTTCATAATGACATAAAAGATATCACTTCTATCAAATGTATTGCCACCATCAAGCCATTTCTTCAGTGTTCCAGAGACACCATTCCTTGGAGCTTCCAACATCACCTTGAGAAGGGGGCACTGGGAGGCCTTCTTCATTGGCTCCTTGTCAGGTTTTGTATCAGCATCATCTCCCAACAAGCCAATTCCATCAACAGCATCATCATCAGAACTCTCTTCAGATGGCAACTCCACATCCTTTTTATCAGCTTCTGGTGGAACCTCCAGATCAGAAAACCCGTCCTCCAAGTCATCCACCTTGTCACCAGAATTTGCACCGGTCTGAGAAGAGAAACTCCTACTCCACGTGGACCAGCCAGATGAGAACGGTAACCGGCAGGCTGGTGGCTTTGGTGTACTGCAGCAACACGATTTCTGGCAGCCCTGCTCACAGTGTTGTTCTGCATTCTTAGCATCAGCACTCAGAAGTACGTCAAGGCTTGCGCAACCCCGGACACTTGCAACTTGGCGGGCACTGACCCTGAATCAGAAGCAAAAAATGTCGGCTAAACCAGTTAACAGAATTAAATTGTGTATGCAACACAAGATACATGTTGTATAGTCCTGAGCAAGGCAGTGACAGGCAGATAAGATAGGTATAAGCGGTTCATTTAATGATAGGTGGGCACATAATTGGACATCAATCAAGTAAAAGAAAGGACAGGTATGGTTCTTCAATCAAGCATCAGAAAGGACAAAAAGGAAACGGGGAAATGCCAGGTACGTGGACATCCAACGGCATCGTGAGGAAGCAGGGTGTCAGGGTGAGAACTGCGATTTCCGACTACAGAACAGATCAAGGAATAAATGAACCCAACGACGGTGCGAGCTTTCCACCCCCCATCACCTGGGGATGCTATTATCAACTGGGGATCGCGCTAGTACGGCACGGGGAATCAAATCAAAGGAATCTATAGGAAGAAGAGATTTAACTGGCGTCGCCAAGACACGACGAAATATACTGAGCTAATGGAACAGATCACGCGTCAGACTGTCCGCTGAAGCCACTGACCCATCATCCGGACAAGAGCATCTGAGTCCCTAGAGGGGGGCGGGGAAGGGCCGTACCTGAGGGGGTTGGCGGCTCTGCGGAGCGCCCACATGTCTGCGGCACGGGAGATTGCTGGGCCGCGGTGGCCTGAGGCGTTGGTGAAAGGGGAGGCGGCGGCGCGGGGAAGGGGAACGCAGCAAGGGGGGGTGGGGAGGGAGGCGGCTAAAACCCTAGAGGAAGACGGGCTGCCTTTTGGGGGCGGGGAGAGGGAAACCTAAAACCCTAGCCACCCGCGAGAAGAGGGGAATGGATGGGATAGAGGCGCGGTTCGGCGAGGAGAGTTTAGATATTTTTCCGGGGCGCTAGCCGGAGAAATTACACTTTTCTGCTTTTTTTTTTAAACACGGTACAGACACAAGCGCTCATATACATACGCATACACTCACCCCTATGAACGTACACACGCACACCTCATCTCGATGAGCACCTCCGAAAACTGAGCCGGCATATTCATCTTGAAATTTACGAAGTCACCGTAGGCACCTCGTCGTCGACGGGAACGCCTCCTCCCACTGAATGTGCATCACCGGAAATCCTAAAATAAATCTAGAAATAAATGCGAGCCCAGGATTTGAACCTTGATGGGCTGGGATATTCATAAACACAATAATACGGTTCTTATATACATAAAAATATGTAACAAATACGGTCATATCTACGGTCACCTCGATCGGTCGGTCGCTCTAGTGTCGCAACGTGGCGCGGCGTTTTGCGGAAACCCCCTCACATTTTTGGAAACCAACACGTGCTCCGGTTTGGCACCACCACTCCTCTCTCTCGTCGCTCTCTGTCCCGTGGCCTCCCCCCTCGTCTCTGTCACCCTCGTCTCTCTCTCTCTAATCCCTAACCAACCAACGGTTGGAAATATGCCCTAGAGGCAATAATAAAATGGTTACTATCATATTTTCCATTCATGATAAATGTTCATTATTCATACTAGAATAGTATTGACCAGAAACATAAATACATGTGTGAATACGTAAACTATACCGTGTCCCCTAGTAAGCCTCTACTAGACTAGCTCGTTCATCAAAGATGGTTAAGGTTTCCTAACTATGGACATTAGTTGTCATTTGATAACAGGATCACATCATTAGGACAATGATGTGGTGGACAAGACCCAATCGTGAGCTTAGCATAAGATCGTATCACTTAGTTTATTTGATATAGTTTTCTTCATGTCAAGTATCAGTTCTTTATACCATGAGATCATGCCACTCCCGGATGACGGCGAAATACTTTGTGTGCTGTCAAACATCACTTCATAACTGGGTGATCATAAAGGTGCTCTACAGGTGTGACGT